ACACACACACACACACACACACACACACACACACACACACACACACACACACAAACATTTCTATGAAAGGCTCCCGACAGAGGGCAGCAGTTCCCAAATAGCTGTGCTGCCCTCGTTGGATTCGAAGAATATATGATATCGAATTAATTTGCAGTGATCGTCAACGACTAGAAATTTCATTCCGTCCTTTATTCATCTATATCTATTGACTCGATTTCTATTTGAAATTGATTCGATTGGCCACGCCACAAATTGCTTTGGTTTCATTCTCAAGAAGCCTGTTGCTTCAAAGCGTTCAGGTAGGCGGGCAGACAGCAATAGGAGGAACAGTTGGTCCTGGTCGTGGCAGCGGCATTTCCTAGTACTGTATCCGATGTCTCGGCTCCCTTTACGCATTACAAGCTATCCTGTGATAAACGTTTGTCTTCACCTTCTTCCATAATTCCAACTTTTTCTTTCCTCCCTCACATTAATTTGAGTACATCCCCCTCTGCCGATCATCTTGATTGTCATAAGGGTAAGCATCGCTCTTGATATCATCTTCCTGCATTTTTCGTGATCATATCAGTAAATCGACAAGGGCGGAATTCGTGCAATGTCTAGAATGACCGTATGTGAAATGTCATTGCATGGGTGTTGTTTACGGTGTCCTTTGGGTTTGGACGACAACGCTTCACTCATATGCCCGCGGATCTCGATTATTCACATCTGGCGCAAACGCCCCTATCTTTTATGGGTACTATAAAGAAGTTTCGCCATTTTATCCAGATGATCTAGTCACCGATTCATCGTATGCTCTGAATTGTTTATGTTCAGATGAAGGCTCATAGAAGCAGTGTACATAGAAGCATGAGTAGAACATGAGTACGATATGAATATAAGCATGAGTACAACGTGAGTACGATATGAATAGAAGATTGACAGGGGTCGTCATCCATTCACCAGGGTTACTTCCCTAACGATCAAAACACTATCCCTCGTACAAATGACGTTTGCTGTTTCGAAAAGGCAAAGTTGGTGTAAGGCGTAACCTGTACCGGTTTGTAGTGCAGTGCGCCTGTACGCAACTTCCCACATGCAATCATCCGAAGCAACGTCGGTGAAGCCACGTCGGTGGCAAGTTCGCTATGAACCTCACCGCAGCATGTGTAGAGTCGAAGTTTTCTTTTGCCGTCATCGTTTTCTTGAGAATCACTCATCTGAGCTCAATGCCTTATGCTGCGCTGCTCCAGAACTACCTTACAGCCCTCGTTGCTGTGCACTGAACGGGATTACGACACACAACGAGACGTGGTCATATCGAGAAACTTTACAACAACTCGATTTGATCGATTAGCATGTCATGACAAATGGAAATTAATGATGTTGCCTTTCGTTTTTTTCAATTTGTCCCAATCCGAAGCGTTCCATTTGAAAATTGGCCGAAATCGTTGCTAAGGCTATGGATAGTAGTCGTTACGTAATCAGCGCCTGTAGCTGCGCACCGTTTAATGACGCAGCCAAACCTGAAACTCTGACGCGCTCTTCCAATCTAGGATCGAGTTCGTCAAGCTGGTTTTGTTAGCGAAAAAGATAGTGCAAGCAGGCTTTCGCTTTCTGCCGGTGAAATCCACGCTGCTTTTACCGAGGACTAGCCAAAGCGCCTTTGCCTTTGATCTTTTTCAACAAGGATCTCGTAAAAATTACGCTAGCAGAAACCTTGTTCTCCATGTAAGGCAAGTATGACGATCAACTCAACAATATCATCCTCGCCATAAACCACAAGGAAAAGTTCAAAACGAACATGCATAAAACAGTGACATAACTAGAGCGGGACGAACTGAGATCGCCGTTGCGAATACACACACAGGCTCTAGGGGCGAGAAGGGAGATTTGAATACTGAAATGATTCGCGTGCGTTACACCTTCATACAAACATTTGCATTACACTATTATTACAGTACGGGGCTGGATAGAGGTAACAGCGTTTTCCTCAAGGTGGTCGCCGCGGACGTTGAGTTTACACTTCATTTAAATCCGGATATTCAGCTGATGAGCAGTTTTCGTACTATCAGTATCAAATGAACAATCGAAATAGATCTTCCCAGGTGCTGATGAACATTTACAGGCGCGTCTACCTTTTCTATGCAATAAAACTTGTCCTCTTTCTTAGGCCTTTGACGTCCTTATCTTTGCTTTTTGGCCTCCTTATGGGCACTAATAACGGTTTCACTAATTGGTGGCGGATGAAGCTATCCAGTGGCAGACTGTGATACGCCTCTCCATGACGAATACTTCACCTTCATCACAATAATTGCCATCCATCTGCGTACACACTGCGGCCGTCCTTCCCCTGCAAGCTACCGTACCTCGTAGCGCACGGCAATGGGCGTGGCTCAGTGCCTATATCAACTCTCGGGCGCTCACTCCAATTTTTGCCCAAACAAGTTCTGGCAATGATAACCGACTCAGTTCATCAGCGATTGTTCACTTACTCAATCAATTCTAGCGGCACATGTGTGACTTACATTATGATTAGTGGATTTATAGTCATAACCATAATAGTGTGTTCATAACAATGTTTGCAGTTCAAGCCTTTTTTGTCGTCTTTGCGATTTTTATCGTTGAATCAAGTCGCTAGCTGGCAGTGACGCTACATTTTCTATTCCCTGTAAAATGTCTTTCATTAACCATGCCCCAAATCTTCAGATCTAGCGGATGTGCTGAGATAGTGGTGAGTGGGTGAGTACATTACATAGGAACCATGGAGATTCAAGCCCATCTCATGCACCACAATCCGTATGATATAGTGAAAACCGAGGAGCCAGTAACGCCTCCAAAGTCAAAGGCAACATGTGAGTTTCGCCAGAGATTTCTCCTGCGTCATATGATGAGCTTGAAATTGATCACAACCCGATAGGCGCGCAATCAATGCGGGCCCTTCGGCACCGATTGCAGAAAAAATCTTTACCAGCTCATGAACGAATTGGAGCCCTCTACCACTGCTTTACCACAAAAGTTAAAATGTAGATTTTCCGCGGTCACCTCGACTGACGCTCAGAGCTGTCGTGGTTGACGTCGTCGCGAGACTATTGAACTGGTCAAGGCGAGCAAGAACTGGCTTTGCAGGCTTCCTGAACAAAACAATTTATTAAATGGGCGGCACATCGCCATATTCTAGGCGACATTGAGGGCTCCAGCTACTTCATGAGACGGAATTTGATGAGATCCTCGTATTTCAGTGTGCTCCTCAACGGACATGCTCTTCAGCGTGTCGAATTTCAACATTCAGTCCAATTTTTGCGCACAGGTGAACAACAACCACGATCCGCTTAATAATAATCATGTGAAGATCAACTCTAGCGGTAAACCTGTTCATTGCCAGTTTCTTGCCTTTTCAAATGTTTTTTAAATCTGTTCGTGCTTAAGGACGAACTTTGGCGGCGGACCGTAAACGACCTTATCCGTGTAACTTGTGCACGTCACGATTCGGCAGTAAAATGGAGCTCGAAGAACACCAAAACAGCCACACTGGAATGAAGCCATTTGAATGTGATGTAAGTCCGGTTGAATTGCTCCGGCCTCCATATCCATCTCCGCAAGTTGACGAGGTATGAGTAAATTGGGAGTTTCGATGCCCTGAGGCTTGGCTGCTCTTTGAGTTGACTGCGAAAGGCTGGCACTCCGACTTCGAAAGAAGCTTCGTTAATGGGATGCTCTCTGAAGCAAGTTCCCAAATGAATGGTTTTTCTCTTTTGGTTCCAACTGCATCAACAAAATCTGTCGTGAAACTTTATCCCTACTATATTTAGGTCTGCAAAGCGAGATTCAATCGTCGTTCGACATTATGGAACCACAAGCGAATTCACTCAGACGCGAAACCATTCGTGTGCACAGTGTGCCAGATGACGTTCAAGTGGAAGAACAGTCTGAAGGTTCACTACTTGTCAGCAAATATGACAACATAGAAGAAAGAACAATTTTTTAGTGTCATAAGGAGATGCATATGAGAAAGAATGAATCCACTCCACATATCGATAACGATCTGCGCCAGCTAACCTACGCGACGGCTGCTAAGCGGAAGCTGGTTGGTTTTTGAAAGTCGAGCAAAGGGGAGCCTGAAACACATAGACTGTCATGTAAGAACCTTCTCGTATGCGTTCAGATGATGGAGCAGGAGGAGCAAGGCATTCCAGCCACTTCGTCAGCGTCGTCTCTTCATAGTCAACCGCTGATAACCACAACGGCACCAAAGAAGAAATCTCATAAGGTATGGATTGGGCTAGCATAACGAGAAAGACCGGGACGCTAAAGTCATCGATCTTGTTCACAAGATGCACCACGGTTCCTTCTCTGCATTGTGCAATCTCCTATGCCTTCTGTTTTCAAGGTCTACACTCCTCATTCCGAAAACTCCCTCTTCTCAACGTGTTTTTGAGGATGTTTTCGCTCAGCACCCAATCTACTCTTTCTTACTTTTTGTAAACTTTCTTCGAATAGAGAATTGGTCATTCTATTCTCCCCCTCTCCTTTTTCTCGATCATGTTGTAGGAACATGATTAGTGCCGGGCAATTATCGAATCTGTTATCGTACCTTTTTTTTTGATATATTAGCAGAAATTCGGCTGCTATTGAAGCTATACATGCTGATGATCATGACTGAACGCAGCGCACTGGTTGAGAGGAATCTTATCAAATGCAGTTCTTCTGAGCTCTGAAGTTCTCTTCGCCACAAATGTTATTTTAAAAATGATGAATAGAGTCCAGGACATGGCAGATGTCTAGTTTTACCAAGAATAGTTTCAACCTAAAATTTTTGTCAAGCGGTCAAGTGACTGGCTAACTGTCCATGGGTTTACAGGAGATCCTACTTTTGACAATTTGTTCCGAACACCATACCTTGGGACCACCCATTTCCAAGTATGGAGCGCTTAGTGCGAAATGTGCATAGTACAATACTGCTCCTAATTCATGGTCAACTGGATTAACCCGTCGCAAACCGTCGCTTCGCCATAACTTCAGTCAAAGTACTCCAATCAGGCTGAAATGAACATCATCGGGAAGCCTTTGTCGTGAACAATCCAAATGTGTAATAATCTTTTGATTTCCTCAAAATTTTCGCCCTTATTTCTAGGGAATACAAAAACTGAGTCCTCCACAAGGAATATCTTCCAGGGCGTGGGACGCTTTTTAAAAATGGTTTTTTGCATGGTGTAGGGGCATGAGCACTGAGTACAGTGCTATGGTGCATTTCCGCTGAATGGCCTTCTTAATGCCAAAAAAGGAGTGAAAATGTTTTCGTCTGAAATTGCCAATTTAACCCATTGGGGGCAGCCGTTTTTCCGTTTTTGCATTTTATGCTGCCACCTCCAGATTGGCTCCATATTGCACCAGGGCCAAAGAATGAGCAAACCTGTGTGGAGCGAATATCATTTGTGGATGTCGTTCGCTCTCGAGACACCTCGGGATCATCGTCGGGATCGGAACAAACTAGCAGTCCAACGCTGTCCCGTTTGTCTTCGACGCTTTCATCAGAAGAATCGATAATGGAAATTTTCCGAGAATCGGAGATCTCACGTTGTCTCAGACCAAGAAGCATCTGTAGACGAGAAACAAAACAGCGGAGTAGTTGCTCTGCAGAATCCTAGCTTAGTAGCCGTATATGCTCCACTGATATCCGGTTATTCGGTTAAATATGTTTCGGTGGAGGAGGTCGTGTTGGTCCGGTGTTCAAGTTTTTAGTCGATGCCATCTTTCGAGATGGACAGCGTTTCATCGAGCGACTTCTTGGTCGTGCCAGATGAGGCGGCCATAGGTCGTAGAAGGCAGCATCTCGTTCGTCTTTTGGTGCATCTGACGCGTAACAGCTACCAAACCTTCTCTATTAGGGCAGAGCTACCCAGTCAGTACATAGTTGGCAATCTTCTTCGGTATGGTGTCCATGAACGGGATCCTGTGAGATCGGCTGCGGATTTGGATTCCATCGGGGGAACCTCAGCTAGGCGTTGGGTTTTCGAGTTCGCGACCGAGATTAACGCCTGAAAGAGCACGCATAGACCTGTCAATTAAGAAATCGTGGAGTGGGTACCGGTACTCAGAAAATGATGACAGATCCGAGACATCCCTGCAGTATTTCATTACACCCATAAATATCATCAAAGGTCACGGCCAATGTACATACATACAGGCTACTGATATACCCTTAGCAGACTCTTTTGGTATCAGTCGTAGGAGTGAACGAGATGTGGAGGAATGCATTGTGGAGTGCAGTGGCGCTGGTACTAAGTATGCCTGGGGATCAAATACGACTAGGCGGCCGGCCAGGCCAGCCTAGTCGTCCCCCTCAACCTCTTTGGCTCATTGCTTTGGCCCTATTGCAATATGGAGCCAATCTGGAGGTGGCAGCATAAAATGCAAAAACGGTAGCGTTTCTCGGATCCGAACCACCAAAGCATCGCAGCCGTCCGAGCCCGAAATCCACATTACAATCCACCACACCATCCCTCGCTGTTAGCAGCTGAACCGTGGACAGCCCCTATGGAACTTCCCCGCACTTTTCAACATGTCAGTCCTTTTTTGGGTCCCGTTCACGTTATTTTCAATGCCCAGTCCCCTGTCGCCTTCTACTGTGCGGGCAGTCGACGCCATAAATGAAACAAACGACGCCTAATGGGTTAAAATGACAATTTCTGACGAAATAATTTTCACTCCTTTTCTGGCATTCAGAAGGCCGTTTAGCGGAAGTGGACCATAGTTCTGCACTCAGTGCTCATGCCCCTTCATCATGCAAAAAACCATTTTCAAAAAGCGTCCCACGCCCTGAAAGACCCCCTTGTCAGCACCTGGGGCGTTACTTGCGGGTATGACAGCATCGTAAACCCTCCACTTCAATTGGAAAATTCGTTTTCAGTTTTCAAAAAGTCTGAATCGTGCTTTAGTTGAGGAAAGCATAGAATTGTGATCATTATGATACCCTTCATGACATAATTTGAACACTTTTAGCTGAAAGCAGCGGTGCAAAGCAAACTGTTAGATCTTTAGAAGTTTGTTATATCTTTCAGCCACGTATTTCGTATGACGACCGTATGATCGCTTGTGAAGAATCCTTTCATGTCATGAGTTTTGAATTTCTTCAATTTTGCAGCATCGTTCTTATGGAGTTCAAAGAGTGAGTGAGGATGTCGCAACGTGACCTGACAGGTCAGAAATCGATCGGCCTTCTCCCATGTTACCGCCGCCAGCCTAAACCGCTAATAAATGGATGATTGGAATGTTCTCAAGCTGAGCCGGAAAATGGCGCAGAGGGAGTGTTTGCACTTGACCTAGATTACATAAGGGTTCGGATCCTCAGTTGTGCAGGGCGCTTGCAACCGCTGAAACAACATTGTTGCCAGGCAATGTGTGCTTCTCTGTACTTATTCGGCTGGTGTTAAGGATCAGTGCCCCCCATTTTCCATCAGTGGGAAGCTGGGGGCAATCAAGATAGCGCTTTGAATAAGGGAAAATTCAAATTGCGTGCGACTTAGGGTAGCACAAGTAGTCTTGATACACATAGTCCCCCTCCCCCCCTCCCAGCGTGGTCCTTTCATCCTGCCAATTGCTTACCAAAATGTGTCAGCAGGCGTACTCGAAAATGGACTCGGCAATAGCGAAGGCGATGAGCCAATAGAGATTAATAGTGAGCGGTCAATTAGCTCAACATTCGATTTGGAGGTCATTCATCCTTCTATTACCAGAATATCAGATCACATAATGGAAGCCTTTGAGTAAATGCAGAATAATTCGTTCCCGAGAAAGTGTACTTCTGAAATCAACTAGCAATTTCTTGAAGAATTGATCATTGAAATCACTGTTTTCAGCTGGAACTTTTTGAATCCTATCATTAAGAATACCGAAATAACCATCTCATGCGTCCATATCCCAAATGTCTTCAAAAAACTCAGAATGAAGTTTTCTCTCGAAGTGGAGAGTTCAAGATTATGTTGTACCAGGCGGCTACGCACGCTATTGCGTGCGCTGGGGGCTCTAGATAT